TAATAAGATATTTCACATCTGATATTGGTAACAGTTTAGGAAAAGTCACGCGTCGCCACTGGTCGGTAACGTACGGGTTTTCCATCATCTTTCGTCGTATGGAACGGTGATGAAGGTCAACTTGGCAAACCATTGCAAGGTGCTACTTTCGCACTGGAATCAATTAGTTGCTAAGTTCTCAAAAGCGCACCTGTTATTCTTTTTCAAAAACAGTCAAATAGGACAAATAGAATCTATCTAGATTGTAAATGGGAGTAATGGTACACATAGGTGTATTTTATATTGTAAATAAAGATGAATCAGATATTGCGCATGTAGGTGTCATACCTTGCATTATTTTGCATACATTGTAAAAGTTTTAATAGAACAATCACGGATATAATCCATAAACGTGTTTTATAAACGATCTTCAAACATGCTGTAAGTAATCTACAATATTTATAATACCTGTGTTTTTGGTAATGATTATAGTATGTTGATACTGCGCCAATGCTTAGAGAAAATAGTATGAATTATGGGTCTGTATTCCACCCATCAATTTCACTATGTAGACGAAATCTCTCAAAATAAGTAATTTTTCAGAAGAATAATTCGTTTTCTGAGAGATATATTCTGTTTTACATACATGCACATGAAGAAAATCCGTATGCATTATACATATGGTGTCAGATTGGCAGGGGGCACAGCCCCTCTCGCTCAGCCTTCATTGCGTCTGTCTGTTATAATGTTGTCTGTCCGGGTCCGGTAATTATCGAGAACTTGGAAAGTATATGACCTTCAGATTTTCATGAAATTTTTAGGCAAGGTTTTACTATCACGTCAGGGACGAAGAAGCTTTGGAGGTTTCAAAAATCGATGAAGCGGAAGCGGAGAAATATCTAAAAATCGGAAGATTTCGAAACGTCAATTATAACTTTGTTTTTCGAATTCCCTATGATATTATTTTTAAGGGGCCATTTTCGACATTTCTGAATTCTTCTGATTTCTTTGGAGTGTAGTCAGATTAAATGTTCAGACACCGATTTCAGATAATATTTAGGCATAATCAACAATTATTTTTAAGGGGCCAAGGAATACGAAATACTGAAATCTCTGATTACTTTGGGGCGTAGTTAGAATATAAATATGTAGGGTCTCACAAGTTTTGATATCACCGACGCTTAGAATGTTCGTCTACCGTACATGTTTATATCTGTACTGAGTCAACCTACTTGGCTATTTCTCTTTTTATTTCTGGCGTCTTATCTTTTGTAACACGTCACACCTAATTCCCAGATACCTCTCAATAATAAATTCTAATATTACAGTATTTCGCAGAGGCTTGGCAACAATGACCGAAAAATAAAATCGACTTAGTGTCTCGCTCTCTTGACAACAGTGCTGAAACGTTTTCCATTCATTGAAAAGAACTCTACCTCGTTTGTGGCTGACTGCTAGCGCCAGGCGGTCATTCATTGAATCACAGCAAGCATATACAGGCGTGGTGGGTTTATAGCAGCATTGCCAGATTGTAAGCTCTTTACGGCTGTCTGAGAAAAATATTTGGTAGTAAAATGGGTAATGTGGTTGTATTTCATAGTCCGAGAAGTGATGATAATGTTGAATTAGTGAGGTAAATGCCATTTTCAGATATTTTATGTGTGACGTACTTTAGTTTAATGACGAAGTTTACAAAGGAGAATTTTTCTGGGCGTTGTTTTGCTATTACTGATTTAAGTGTGGCTGTGGCTCTTGGACTATAAGCAAGATGATTCTGCCAGAAAATTGGTGTGAAGGCTGTCGGGTGATTGTGGCTGGTTTTTTCGCCATATAAAAAAGATTTTACGTAACATGTATATGTATGTGTATGTACTCAATTGTTGGGCAAACAATGCGTGTATTGATTCTGAATTATGTGTAATGATATTGATGGCATACATGCTTGTTTGTTTTCGTAATTATTACCGTGACTGTGGCCCATAACCAAAACCAGTTATAATGATACAGCAATAATTTTAGTAGCATGGAAAAACAATTCGATTATTGCTAAACGCTTCGGGAAGTGGTTTGAAGAATATAATTTTTAAATGACTCCAAAGCTTGAACACAATCTGAACTTAAGCCTCCTTACTTCTAAGTTGATTATTTTATGATCGATTTTCTCACCAATATGTATAATTTATATAGGTCTCTGATTCTAGGTTGGTCTTCTATAGCGGTTTATTATAGGAAAGCCAATAAAGACCAAGTAGCTAATACAAACCGACAACGACGATCCCAACCGTACTACGCTTCAATTTTTGAAGCCTCTCTATTTGGTAAACTATCAGTGCCAAAAGTTATCTATCGATACTATTTTCTACATAATGGAAACAAAGGAAGATTCAAAAAAATATTCTCTATCAAATTAAAATCGAGATGATTATACTAATTATAACAATCTGTGACGTTCACCCTGTATGAATAGTGCAACATTTCTGGTACAGGAAGAAAATCGATGCTCCCCATTAAATCCAAAAAGTACCTACATGATTTCTCGACACTGTCCAACCTGTACAATTAAGACCAAAGGTAGCTATGATCGTGAACATTATTGATTGTATCAAAATGGAAATGAAGTGTAAATTATACTGTAGCAGACACTCTAATAGCTGCTCAGATGTTATAAAATACGACTAACGGAAGCATCTCATCAATTAGTGTTGAATTACAACCAGTGAGCCATCTGTGACAGCACAGTGTCTTGCATCGAACTTTCGCAATTCAACTCGAACGTTATTATATTTCTAATTTCAATATTTTCAATATTGGATAACTATATCCTTCTTGATATCTACCAGTGGCTTGCAAAAGCTGTACAGGCTGACTATTGTAGGATCTGTAATCCTAGTTTAACGTGCAACAAAATAAGCTTTACGACAATGCTTCGGAGATGGTGATATACGATTTACGATCACATTCGTGTCCATTTATGCGGAGATAAGTAGATGAATGCGAGCTTCAGTCATATTTCACCCGTTTTACATCGTGTCCCAAAACCAATAAAAGATTACATTAAATATATGAAATAATCTTTTTGTGCGAGCTTTAGAGCATGCTTTCAACGAAACATGCTGGCGAAATGCGGTTGCAATAGTCATTTTAAACGAACAAGGAGTACCTGATTACCTTTCGGGGAAGTGTATTCCTGTACACTGAAAGACTAGTCACTCCTCGAGTGATTCTCGGAAGGGAAAGTCTCAACGTCGCGTCGTGCCGTCCATCAGCCTCAACTAACTCTAACAGCTGTTAAAATTTAGGAGGAGAACTAGGCTCACTTAATTATATTATTTTCTCAGAGGACATTAACAATGCATTTACAAAATTTTAGTAGCATATTGCATATAACAATTAGCCGGTGTGCTATAATTCTTGGTGGGCTTTTGCGTTTATTATTTTTTTTTTTGAGAGCTGGTACATTAAAAAAAAACGACGGACAGCCTCATTCTTGGTTGTCGTTTTGGAAGGTTTTTTGTCCTTTTTGGGAGCGAGAATGCCGACCCTCCCCCTGGCGGTTTTGGGCTATGATGGTTTTGCGTGGTGCCATCTAAGGATTTGGAATGATGGCTTCGTGCAATCTTAGCATGTTACGAGACCTTTCACACTATTGTAGTAAGAAGAAAAAAATGAAAATAAGTAAGGTGTCACCTGGAATACAAATGAAATATATTGTCAGTCATTGCACGGAAGAATGTCACAATTGCATCCGAAACGTTTACAACAAAGAAGACTTTTTTCAACATTTGTGTTTTCGAATTGTCGACATATGACAGATATGCAGGATGAGTGTTTGAGTCATCTCACAAGACACCTCAAAAAGTGACTTCAGTCATGTAAAAATGCGTGGGACCCAATTTGAGTGGAAGCAAGACTTTGACCTCCGTGGGTACTCTAACAATAAACTGACCTTAGATTTCAATTTTAAGCAACCTGATTTACCCAGGAAACGAGTATTATGCGGCATCTCAGAGAGGCAGGGGTTCAGAAGTTTTTAGAAATTTTCTCATATGGCAAAATATATTGTCATTTTCGTCTCCCTTTATTGCAAACAAATGAAACCTAGAACAAAAATATGATTTTGGGATGCTGAATGCAGAGTTCATTGAAACTCACTCAGATACGTGCTACCAGAATTCAAGCGCTCACCGCTCGTCAGTCGCGATTAAACTGTGAGTTTACAGCTGAAAACAGCACAAACCATGAGTTCTACTGGGAGAGAAACATCAATTTACCATTCAATCGTGAACATTTGCATTGAAAATTGATAAAATCTGAAGGATAAACCTCACGCAACACACAGTTACCTATATCACTTGATTGCGAGGTAACATCATATTTTCTCCTATAGCTAAAGCTTCATAAGTGTCTCCTGAAAACCTTGCCCGAGAGTTGTTTCTTATTACGTAACTTAAAAGGTGACATTATATTGTCATTATGTAGGGTCTTCCGAAAGAATGACATCTTGGATCCAGGTGTCATTCACTTCATGTTCACTCGTACTAGTTGTGTGTGTGGCCTGAACGGCCTGGAGGTATATACGTGGCTCTGATGAGTTGTAACATCTGTTCAGAGATTGCACTAGCGGATAGCGGAGGCTTTTTCTAGCTTCTATGACTTAAGCTGTAAATTCTGTACTATGGGCGTTTACAGCGAGTACGCTTGGCGTGAACTAGCTTATACACAAGTTGATATTTTACCGGTTTCTAATGATTTTATTCGTAATACCACTGGTCGGTCTGTTATGCGGAGGCATCGAAACTACTTTGTAGGGCAAAAATCTCAAGTGAATGAAACTGTGTAATCTGGGGCGGGAACTCGAATATTACCTTCAAATAATGAAAAAGTACCGTAGCGCCAAATTTTAGGTAGAGAATGTGTCGGTTTTGGGGCCCCTTGCGAGGATTTCTGAGGTACCGAAATATCAATACCAAACTGAATATATAGGATTATTCATTATTGTTAACCTTTGATATTGAAAAAGAATGTTCATACAAAAACCTTCCTAGTTCCTAAAGAAGTATCTATGTAACCCACCACTGCTGTCGGGGTATATCGTCCCAGTCCTACTCGCGAGTTGGGGACAAACCGGCTGACGATCCGGCAACACCACGATCGTAATCCAGCGTGCCGCGCTTTAACTGCGAACTACGGCTGTCATAACCTAAAGTAAACTTTGCTGTGTGCAAAATTATCGGTTCGGTTTTGCCGTTCTCCGAAGTACCCTTCTTTTACTCGGTAGTACTTAGTGACGAATTTTGACCGGAACGTTGATCGTACCGACAAGACAGTGCCAAGGACGAAGAAGTTGCAAGCTGCGTATTTTGCCGGGATAACAAAGGCGGCTTCAGGGATTGTCAGTGAGTTGACAGATTTTGTTATGGTTGATCGATTTTGTTGCAACATTTTATGTTTATTTATATCCGTGATGTCTGGAGATGTCATGAGGTGATGAGATTTATCTTGGTTGTTTGACGCTGGAGAGGATGAGATAATAATTACATAATAAATTAAATTCCTCGGTGAAAGTGAAAGTAAAAATGCTAAATCTGGAACTGATCAAAGCTGTTGCCCTGGCAGATACTAATGCAATATTTTTTTAAGTTTATGGATCACGGGTGAAGTTATAGTGTATGGATGGGTATTTCTTGTTTTGCCCAACTATGCAATATTGTAATGCATTAAATTTGCAATGTAAAAATGTCCAGACGTTCTGTAGGCCGAGGCTAACTGGGTAACTTCCAGGGGCGTAACTGGTACATACTGTTTTCTAATGAAGTAGGGAGTATGTACATTTATTATAACATTTTATATTAGGTTGTAGATAGTAGTCATAAGGGGGAATGCTTATAATCTCCGAGATACATCACACAATTTTATCTAGGACCAGCTTAGTAAAAAATTTAGAACAGGGTTCCATTGTATCACAAGTAGATGCGTTGTTGCCTAGCAACCATTAAGAAACGAATGGTAGCCATATTGACCCCAAGATATTAAAGCTTGATATGTCCAAGGCATATTTAATAGTTGCTAGACAACTGCGCAACTACCGGTGGTACAATAGTACGGTTACCTTATTTATTTTGAATTCTACTTGAAAGCTACCTGTTTTTTTACTTTAGCTGTTCGCACATAAAAATATTGTGTGTATTTCTTAAGATGTAGTTACAGTCCATTGTTGCTAAATGCAGTATTCCATACACAGGTTTTTACGCTCAGAATAGATAAATAACTATAATAATAAAATTGGTTCTTAATATGAAGCCTGACATGAAGTGTATTTCTGTCATAATTATCGCCTTGTTGGGTTTTAACACGTTTTAATAAAAAAGTCAACAAAACCATAGATAAGGTTATTTAAATTACCTGAATAAATAATATTCTATAAATACGATAGTAGTGTGTATGCTCATCAGGTACAGTTAACCTTGAAGCAAACATTGAAAAATAGTTTAGACCATATTTATTTATATGATAACCTATAATTATTGTTCTAGTGAATCAATTTAAATAATATAATTTCTGACTTGTTTGCATCGAACTTTGAAGATAGAACAATAGCTTATTACTATTGTCATAGATGTCATACATACAGATTACATAATGACTTGCGGACTAATATCCTTCCAGGAATTTCCTCACGAGAGCCAGTATAAATAAACGGAAGTGCTCCCCCAAAAAACAGCTATAACAGAGAAGGATGCAAATTTTGCCTTGCGGCAAAATCCTTGAGACCCTACCACAAGTTTTATGACCCACAAAAAATGTGCTTACTCTTAGTTACAAAATTAATCAAATCATACTTTTTCCTCATGTTCTGTTGAGGAAAACACCTCTGAAAGACACATCACACATGTTTTTATTGCTTAATTTTTGCTAGGCTTTGTCTGCGGCAGTGTGGGAACGAACAAATTACGAGGATCGAGTTACCCCAATGACTTTGAGTAATGTTCCACCATATGTTAAAAATTGCACTGTCATCTTTCATCAAAAATGACACACAAATCATTCTTCATTTACCTATATATTATATAAACGTCGTTTTTGAGGCACTGTCCTAAATATCCATGACAGAAATCATAAATTGCTTGCACGGTAGGGGCTCATTTAGTTGAAATGTCAAAGATGATGTCATAGATCGCACCGGTTCTAGTTGGCCATGCTGAATAGCGTAATAAAGGCTTGATAGTAGGAGGACTAAATGGTGGAATGCACGTTTTGTAATCTACAGGCGTGAAATATGACCCGAGAGTATGAATAATATTTCTTTGTAGATTGTTTGTTTGATATTCTTAAATCACAGGGTTCTTAAAACATTGTGTGAAATGCAAGGAGCAATATAGCTGTAGTGCTTGTTCGTCATTGGCGATTAGAAACTTTTTAGTTCATTTTATTAACAGCTAAATAAGATCTTGTATTTAAAAATGTATGTTTATATTTATTTTTTACTCAGTATTTATGATGTTGAATAATCAGTTTGGTAGTTTCTATATAGTTTTAAATGTAAATCGCCTTTTTTTCGGCAGCCTCCATATTGGATTTACAATGACGTCACTTTGCTTATTGTGTTTCTCTCGTCAAGCCCTTTCATTTGATACCCATTTCATTGGGGTGACTGTGACTTTGAAAAATTAAATCCTTATATTGCGATGGCTGTCAAACATACTAACATAGATACAAAAAACATGTTAAATAAAAGCTTGTAAAAAGGTCAAAATCTTCAATTTTATGCGTTACTCTCTCGTGTACTATTTTCTATAATATTCTCCCGCGCAAAAACAGGTGAAACTTTCGCTCTAATGACGTAAGCAACTCGGCAGATAAAAACCGTTTATTTTTGGCACACATCCATACGTGAATGTTTTGGTTATCATTCGAGTGCCAACCCACGCCTAATCTCATGCTGAAAGGTTTACAGATATTTTGATTCATTGTATTGGAATTTATTGAAATTTCAGTGGTTCAGAGTAACATTGCGTATTAACAAAATAACAAAGAACCTCGGTACCCCGGTATTTAGGCTTCTTTTTGACTACGCGGCTGCTTCGGTATAGAAAAAAATGGAACAATGAAGAAAGTTTGTACAAACTAGGTAGTGCTGAAAATTCACTATCGTATATGGTACATACGAGTATGTATATCGAATCAGAAATAATTATATTACTCGTATGATTAGGCTTTTTATTTGGTTTCATTAATCACTAACAAAAATGTAAGTAAGACACGGAATAACCTAACTGAACTATTGAAGTAGGTCGACCGAAATTAATTTAATGAAAAGAAAAATGATATGCTAAATAAGGTGAAGAGAATATTAGCCAAACTAAAAGGAATAAGCTCATTTTGCGATTTTAACTTTTTTGTTAAAAATATCAGCATGTGATCCAGGAAAAATACTGGTTGCTACTTTCCATATCAAGTTTACAGACTTGAGTCAAATTGAAGAGTTTTGTGCAAAAACGACAAATGCCATTTTTCAGAAATTTGGTGCTGTTCGCACCATTGTATGTAAAAATAACGTTGTCAGATCCTGACCAACTATTAGAGCAATGAATCCCACAATCAGCTGCAAAATGCGACTGTAAGATCGCCCAGTTTGGCAAAAACAACCAATGTCCAAGCACCAATTTTATCAAGAATAACCAATGTCAACTAAGTCGCGACACAGACATATCATCATTCAGTCAAGTGCACATGTGTTTATTGTATAACATTGTTTACCATTCATTCCTGCTTAAATTTTTGGTGCAAAAGCTAATCAATAATAAAAAAGAGACATAACGTGATGGACGATAACAGTGACGAGTGTGGTTAATATTGTATAAAATATGTATATTTATCTTTTGACAAGTTTTTTAAATTTATTTGTAAATTTTAATAAAGAGTCAATTGAAATTTTTGTTCCTCTTACTTTTAATTTTCAACAAAAACAGCCAATGTCAGATATTTCATCCTCATTTACAAAAAAAAAACGGAGTTTATATAATATCTAAATATATCTCCAAATCAGTAAAATACAAGTATATTTACTTATAGGGAACAAAAAAAGTTTTTTTTAATACACTAAAAATATTGAATATTTGACATCGGCTGTTTTCGAAAAGAACCATTCAATTTCCCAAAGATGTATCGAAAAAGTTCAAAATCATCCTTCATTGCCAGATATGAATAAAGTTACAAAACTCAAAATCTCATATAAATTGGGCACTTCATCCGATAATATATGGGGGACAAATAATTGTAATTATTTTGTGATTACTCCGCCACCACTGGACCGATGTCCAAAAATCACTTTCTCGTCCTTTCTGTGGTAGCAACTTACATCAAAATTTCAGTTTCATCAAATATAGAATGAGACTTTCAGACTGATTTAACCAACCAAACACAAAGGTCCTACCGCTCTGACAGTCAATGACGAATAGAAAGTTCAGACTGACGGAAATGAATGACACAAATTTTGTTGTTTGTCTTGAGATGTTAAAAACATGTATCTATATCTATCTGTAAACCATAGTACAACAATGGTTGTATACCGTTGTACAAAACGTTTGGTAACATGAAAAAATCAACCACCAGGAGACCTGTATGTACAAGTACATATTTATGTTTTAATGATTCCTGCAGTTTTTATAATATCGGAAGGTAATCAAAGAAATTTATAGGATCGTAATATCCGAATTACTAAGGCAGTCCCATAAATATTGATCTCTTTCATTAGAACATCTGGCAGCATAAGATTATCCCATACTAAAAGTGATCAATCATGGATAATGCATGTGTATACTGTGTATGCTTTTCATCACAGAAGCATCCTATTTTTACATACAGCATTGCGTTGGTTCTGACGAGTTTCGTTTAATAGCATTTATGTTCGTTAGTTCAGCTGACAAGGTCAATATATATTTTGTAGGTGTTGTGGTATGTACATGAAATACGAACCAAAATTGAATGACCTAAATTGTATTATGGGCTTGTATTAAACAATTCCAGAGAAATAGTATGAAATGACTATTTTGCAAAATGAAGTGTTTAATTATCTCTTATCTAATCAGTCAGCTGGAGCAGCAAGTGTAACAGGCTTGATGAGTGCGTGCTATGAAGTCGGTGATATCTAGATGAAATACTCGTTAAAAAATAAAATCTGCACATCTGGTGCTTTATCAGCAATAAAAATGTTTCTTAAAACATGCAGTATTTTTTTTAAATAATTTTGAAATTCCGTGGGACTCCATGTAGAGATCTACAGATTTAAATCTGTTAAAAATTACCTTTTAGGATGAAGGTTTATTACTGTTTTTACGAAGAAACTTTGTTACCCTGTACTTCGAAGACGAAGCAGTATAAATCAAAGAGTCACCCT